GTTCTCGGTGCCAAGAAAATAAATGTAGGAATTAAGATTCCATTTTTTTTAAAACATAAATAATAATACAAACATTATAATTTATAAACTAATACTTAGATTTATACATGATAATATTTAAATAATTATTAAATTTAATATGAATTAAAGTTAAATGGGTTGGTGGGTTGAAAACATGTTGATAATTTTTATCGGACCCAACCTGTTTAATTATATGGGTTAGATGGGTTGACCCATTTTACGTAAATGGGTTGAAAATTTAACTCAACCTGCTAATTTTGGAGGGTTCAGCTTGGGTTGGTGGATTGGGTTAATTTTTGCAAGTTCTAGCGTTTTGCATGATTTACATTCAAGTAAACTAAATGTTCCACAAGTAAAATAACTTTAGTAGTAAAAATCAGAAAATCCATCCCGCAATCTCATGTGAAGTATATTTTTATGCAAAGGAAAGTTAGGTGTTGTTTAATTTTAAAGATGTAAAATATATGCAGTTTACGGATCATATTTGCTGAACATCTGAAAAACAAAAGGTAAACGAAATGTCTGCGATCTGCAACAAAAAAATTATTGGTCTTCTAAAGTTTGCATACTATTAAAATAACTTAAATATAACGAAACTATTTTTTTTAACTTAAAAAGATTTTTAATATTGAAATTTAAATAAGTATAATTTTACAACACTGCAATAAAAGTTATACAACCACAATAATATTTTAAAAAAAAAACATTTATTCATATTTTGCATTGATTGCTCGCAATTGCATCTCCTAAATAAGTCATATATATGAGGTCACCACTACCATATAAATCCGCTTGATCATAGCGTTAAATCTTTAGTACAACCAACTTTACAATTTACATAAATGGCATGCTTGATCATACCTTTAGATCCTAATATTTAGATGATACAAATGTGTTTGGTCACTCTTAGTTATAATGAGAAAAAAAAATTACTAGGAACGCCTTTAAAATGAGAAATTTTTTTTTCCTATACAATATTTTTCAAAAAAACAAAAAACTAAATAATCTAATATGTGTGATTAAGAGAGTCGCCGAATTCCTTTTTTGGTAAATAACTGTTTTTTTTTCTTTAACGTCTCAAAATTACTAGTAAAACGTTTCATCTTTAAACCATGAAAACCATACAATCATTCATTCAAAAGTCAACCAAATATAATGTGTTTCTCAAACATCAGATTAAATAAAGATCGATAATGCAGAAATAAAGTCCAAGGGATACAGTGCGATTAGCACGAGACCTTCTGTTTTGAACCAGAAGTACCTGGAATATTTAAACACAAAATTGTAAACACAAAGCTTATTGAATTCTCCAAAATATCACATACCATACATCCAATGGGTCTATTTCAACCCGAAGTGAATTCTATGGGCAAAATCATACTCTGACAATCACGTCATGCCATGGGCCAAATCATGGTCTTTCTTGCAATGCTGATGACCAAATCCCGATCTTACATACAAGTGTTAAGGGTCAGATCCTTGATCTTTCATACAAATTTTAGGGGCCAAAATGTACATGATATGGAATGGATTTCACAAGACAACGAATACAAAGCTACTTTGCATGATGAGATTGCGAATCAATTATTTTCAAATGCTTCAAATTAAATTTGTAGGATTTTTTTTTATTTTTTTATTTTTTTGGGTTTAGTATGATTTCGTGGATTTTAAAATACTTATGTTGGATTTCGATTTATGTTTAATTTGGATTATATATGATTTTTTATATTCTTTATGATTATTCAAGAAGTTTATTTAGTTATTTTATAAATAAAAACATTAATTTTTTTTTAAAAAAAAAAAGATAACATATAATGGTAAATGGTCATTTTTATCATTCAAGTCTGTAATTCAGAGTATCCAACCAACAACATTTAAAAATTAATATATTAAGAATACATATCTATTAATTTGTCAGATCTTAAGAATTCAGATCCTACCTAACATCCCCTAAGTCTCCGAAATCAAATGACCATATCATACTTGATAATTGTATGCGGGTTGTGCTTAGCACGAGTCTTTAATTTACCTGGTTATCTTATATATATATATATATATATATATATATATATATATATATATATATATATATATATATATATATATATATATATATATATATATATATATAACATTTTTAAAATAAACTTTAAAAAATAAGTACTACCAAAATAATGAATAAATATGTACTTTAATCCATACTAATAAAAAAACTATTGACATTTTAAATAATTATCTCAAATCATAAATTTTCAAAAAGTTCTTTGAATACAATATTAAATGTAGGGAAATCTTCAGAAAAGTCTTAAATTTTAGTCTAATTTATGAAAAAATTTCAAATTAAATTGTGTACAGAAAAGCACAAGATACCGGTTAAAACTTCGAAAAAACCTTTTTTGACCGGTTTTGTAGATTTAGCTGATATTCGGTCATTTTTCGTTAGTTTGCTTAAAATATCAGAACTTTTTTGGAAATTACCCGATAACCAAAATATTATGATTTTTCTAAAAATTACTATGAAATTAATGGATATTATTATTAACAAATCATTTATAAACACAACAAAATATTTTTTATTATAAACAAATGAATACATTTGTTTCAAATTTCTAGGAATATAATGGTCGACTAGGTACTCCTATATTGTTTGTTGAGTACTTCAAACTCTCTATGTTCCTCTTATGTATCGTTGTGGGTATTATAGTGAGATGTACTCTCTAAGTTTCTTCAATTAAATACAAGAGTTGATAATATTTATTAATACACAATCAATAAGTATCTACTTGATTTTAGGTGTGACGCTACAGTATCACATGTTCTCAGAAAATATCATTACACAATGATTCTTGAACATATAGATCTTTCATTATGTTATTTAACCTAAATACCACCTAACATCCATACATTACATGGTAACAACCATCAAATTACACACATAGTGAAAATTAAACTTTGAATGACAATTTAAATAGATAATCACTCTTCACTTGTTTCCATATAAACTATCATTCACGATTCACTTTTTCACATTTGATAAATGTGTGTTAGCCTACGATTGTTACAATGTGAGATATAGATGTTGGGTGATAATTAGGTTAAACAACATAAGAGGAACACCAACATTAGAGGAACACTCACCGAGTACATCTCCCTATCATACACACAGCGATGCATATGATGAACATAGAGAGTTCGATGTGGCCAATAAGCAGTAGAGGAGTACTTAAACCACCAATTTATTCCTAGAAATTAGCAACAAATGTATTTCCTTTTTTATAATAAAAATGTTTGTTATGTTTATAAATGATTTGTTAATAATAATATCTATTAATTGCATGGTAATTTTCAGAAAAATCTCAATATTTTGGTTATCAGGTAATTTCCGAAAAAGTCCCAAAATTTTGAGCAAACTAATAAAAAAGGACACGATACTTGCTAAATCTGCGAAACCGGCCGAAAATAGTTTTTTTAAAGTTTTAGCCGGTATTTTGTGCTTTTCTATAAACAAAATTTAGTTTAAAACTTTTTTATAAATTGAACTAAACTTTTAAAACTTTTACAGAGATTTCCCTTAAATGTGAGCAACATTGATGTTTAGTTAATTGATAATTTGAATTAATTTTGTAATATATTTTGAAGATAAAACCAACATTATTTATATAAATTATTACTGATAAAATTATTATGTTGTACAATGAAGATAATATAATAATAATAAATGACCACAGTATTAAAATAATTATAAATCAAATGATTAAAATTATATCAACAATACAAAAAGATTTTATAAAGAAAATAAATTAAGTATATTTTCATACATGTTTGAACACTTTTTTATACACAACATTGTAAACGGTATTTGTAAGTCTATGATTATTATCCAAAATTAATAGTTTTAATCATTTTTTGTTCTATTGGTTTTGGCTACAATTTAAAATATGTGTTGGACTTGAAAATCTTGATCCTAAAGTTGTGTTAGAAACAACTCATGCAAACACATTAGATATATTTTTAGTTTATTTTTTTAAAACAACATTGTAAGTGATAAAAAAAACTTTTAACATTGAGGTGTTTCGTGTTCTACATCCTAGAATATGTAGGAGATAAAGTAATTTCATAGGTGGTCAAAAGAGTATTTTTGCATTGGATGGTTAAAGGTTGTTTATTTTATTGTAACGTTAAAAAAATAAAAAGTAATTAACCGTTTTTTATAGGGCTAATGTCATAAAAACCCTCAAGTTTTCAAGAAATTTTCGGTTATATCTTAAGTCCAATTTTATGTCCAAAAAACCGCACATTTGGTCAAAAATTGTCATAATTGCCCGATTTTCCGATTTTACCCTTCTATGGCATTAGGGGTGTTTGCTTCAGTGGTTTGTTGTTCATCACCATAGAAGCTCAAAGATATGAAATTCATACTCAAAGAAATCCATATATTGAATCAATAAAATTCCATTTAACATTATCTGTTTGGTCTCAAGGAATCAATTCCCATGAACAAGATCACCCATTCGTAACCCAAAAACCACCACCACTTATGATATGCATCACCATCACTATCACCATCAAATATCAAACATCACTGCTACCATCCCTGAAATCCACCACCACCACCACATCTACATTGACATCGTCCACCACCACCACCTCCCTTTCTTACCCATATTTAAACTCAGTGCCCAAATGATGTCATGGGTGCTCAAACCTAAAAAATAAACCCAACTATGATAAATTGATACCCAAAATTTAAACTCAAAAACCACAGATGAAATCAAAATCGTGGTTAGCAACACAAATGCACAAACTTGAAATTAAACCTAAACCAAAACTTACATTTTTTTTGCTCTAAGGTAAAGGTGATGATGGTGATGAACAATTAAGGGTAGCGGTGAGAAGTGGGTAAAGTCGTAGAAGTTTGCATCAGATAAACAATCAGGGGCGACGACAAGCGTTGGGTTTCATGGCAGTGGTTGGGATAAATGGGGGTGGAATTATGGGGAAGAAATGTTACATCGTTCGATTCATTGGATTTGAGGTTCAATTCAGATGGGAGCATTGATCTTCAAAGGGTGCTCATCGGTGGTGAGCAGGAGATAGCAGTCGGTGGGTTTCTGGCTCGTTTTCTCTCGGCAGGAAGCTCACTGGTGGAGTTGATTGTGGTCTCCAACAACGATAGAAATCGAGCAAGAGGGCATGGTGTTTGGGTGATATTTACTGAACAACAAACCATTGAACCAAACACCCTTAATGCCATAGAAGGGTAAAATCGGAAAATAGGGCAATTATGATAATTTTTGCCCAAATGTGCGGTTTTTGTGGATATAAAAATGGATTTAGGATATAACCAAACATTTCTTGAAAAGTTGAGGGTTTTTATGACATTAGCCCTTTTTTTATAATGATAAAATATAAAAGAGTAAATTACACGAATGGTCCCTATGGTTTGGGGTAATTTGCATGCTTGGTCCCTAACTTATTTTTTTAACTCGGAAGGTCCCTATGGTTTGTTTTTGTTACGCGTTTGATCCCTACTGTTTATTTTTGTTACGTGTTTGGTCCCTGTATTATCTAAAATGACTATTATTTAAAAAGGAAAAAATGATGGGGTAGGTGAGGTAAGGTGAGAGGGTGGGATTAGGGGTGTGTTTATTTAAATAAATTAAAAAAATCAAGGGCATAATAGTCTTTTTAGGTAAGATAGGGACCAAGCGCGTAACAAAAACAAACAGTAAGGACCTTCTGAGTTAAAAAAATAAGTTAGGGACCAAACGCGCAAATTACCCTAAACCATAGGGACCATTCGTGTAATTTACTCAAATATAAAACAAATTTCATACATATGATAACAGTTAATGTCTACGTAAATATTTAAAAAGATTATTTAGTGATTTAAATTAACAAATATCCACAAACATATTCAAGAATATTCTATTAATAAAAATAAATAATTGAAACAAAATAAAATTGAAATTATAAGTCAGAGCGTTTATGCAACGAATTATGTAAACTTTCTTTGTAACAAGGTTAAAATTTAGGATGTTTAAATTGGAAGCAACATTTACAATAAACTTAGAGTTAAATATAAATATTAGGTGACATTCAACTTTGCGGGTTGGATACGCAAAAAAAAAAAAAGAGTAAATTACACGAATGGTTCCTATGGTTTAGGGTATTTTGCGCGTTTGGTTCCTAACTTATTTTTTTAACTCGGAAGGTCCTTACTGTTTGTTTTTGTTACGCGCTTGGTCCCTATCTTACCTAAAAAGACTATTATGTCCTTGATTTTTTTAATTTATTTAAATAAACACACCCCTAATCCCACCCTCTCACCTTACCTCACCTACCCCATCATTTTTTCCTTTTTAAATAATAGTCATTTTAGATAATACAGGGACCAAACACGTAACAAAAATAAACAGTAGGGATCAAACGCGTAACAAAAACAAACCATAGGGACCTTCCGAGTTAAAAAAATAAGTTAGGGACCAAGCATGCAAATTACCCCAAACCATAGGGACCATTCGTGTAATTTACTCAAAAAAAAAAAATGAACCCCTCGAAAGAATCTTTACTAATATACAACTAAGAAATAATAGATCAATGAATATGCTCCTTCCAAATGGGCTCTTCCTTCCACCTCTTGCAAAAAGTTCTGAAGCAACCTTTGACCCAACACAATATTCACTATCTATATTTATGTATCAAAATAAAATAATAATGTTATTTACACTAAAATTTAATTGGTTTAATATCATATCATATCATGTATCATATATCATGTCATGTAATACATATCCAATAAGAGAGATAGAGAAAGAAATAGACCTTATTTCCAAAGAACATTTTAGAGTTATTAGTGATTGCCTCAATGAATTTAAGCTCCAAGAATTGGGGCATAAGCTTCAACTTGTTGGCTTTAGCCTCTCTCATAGTCCTACAATAAAAAACATGATATACAGCTAACTTACACATTCTTTTGCAAACTAATAAATAGTGTGAAATGTACTAAAAAAATCGGTAAGTTACTAATTTGGTCAATGTGGCGTAATTCAAAATGACGGGTTTAGTCAAAGTTTCATTTTGTTAATGGTCCCTATGGTATACTGTATTTTTCAAGTTTGGTTCAGCAAAATAGTCATTTTCTTTAAGACAACTTAGTAGTTAGATTTAAAAACCCAACAACCAACATGCAACAAAACCTCACCATAGGGACAAATTTGTTTTGTTTTTTTTACAATGGCAGAAAAACTCGTAAAAAGAGGAAAATTTGGACTAAACCTATCATTTGAAGGGGATCTGATCTGGTGTATGACTTAATCAACACTAACCTTTAAAATTTTTTCAATTTCATTAATCTATTAATAATTTATTTGCTTCTATATATTACTTAATTATTGATTATTGATAATTAATAATTAATTTGATGTTATATATTACCTAATTATCGATAATTTCATCTATTGTCCGTCTGTTTTTACAAATATACACATATTACTATGACACCATCTTATATCGCTAAAATGTTTATATATTAAGGCTTCAATAACATTTTAAAAAGGTTAATACAACAACTTGTTAATTTAATATTATAACTTATTAATTTTATTGTCTAAAATGACTTTATTGATAATAAATCATTTCATCCAGACAACCATTTCAACTTTTAAAACAATTAACTTAATAGTTTATTAAATTTTTATATTTTTAATAACATAAAACCATTCATCGAGATAACAATAAAACCATGCAAAATAAATATAAAAAGTTCCAACTCAGATTTTGAAAAAAGAAGAGCAAAATTGTCCTTTATTCAAATGATTCAGAAACTGCACCAGGGAAAAACCCATACATATTTTGAAAGAGAGCACCACAAACCACCACTTCCATTATCATATGTATGTTTATGAATTTGAAGAATCCCAATCCTCTTAAAAACAAAAGGCGATATTGTTGCCTACAGAATCCACACCTGATGGAAAAATGTAATAGACCGGTATCCCTAGTTTCCTTGAAGATTAATGATGATAAAAGATAGGTCATGTAAGTAGCATATTCAATCAAGATTCATATGCAACTTCTATAAAAGACATGTTTCTTATCAATCACTTAAATATACAAAGGGTCCAAAACACAGTTTAACAGTTTTCATCGCACGTGATTTTAGAAATCACACCTAATAAAGAGACTAAAATAACTTACTAATTCTAACAACAGTTGGCAACACTGTAATATATGATATAATAGTCATTTTCTTTCTTGAAGATCAAATGCTATCTACATGTGAATGTGAATAAATAGTACTCCATCCGTCACAAAATTATTAAATTATTGTCCACATTTGATTTTTTAAGTTTGTTCAACTTTCACTTTAAATAATTTACTTTGTATTGTATAATTTTTTATGCAAGATATATGAATAGATTGTTTTTTAAATGTATTTTCATTTTTATAAGTTTCATAAAAAACTATATAACACAAATAAAGTTATTTATGATCAAAATTGACATGGAAAGATTTCAAAAGTCAAACGTGGACAATAATTTTGGGACAGGGAGGATTCATCAATCAAGATTCAATTGGGAAATCAAAATAAGAGATCAGGGTATATATAAAATATAGAAGTAATAGTGTAAAATCAAAATACTATATAACATACCCATGTATCAAACACAAGAGGAAAGCTAAAAAAATCCAATCTTTATTAGTTTCCTGAATGATGTTTTGTTGGGTTTAATCTTAATCTTAGTATATTAAATCAATGCCCACAAATTGGATTACAGACACTAACCAAAGGGTCTGGTTCTTTTTACTTAAAAGTAAACAAAGAATCCCAAAATAATTTCTTTCCATGACATATTCAAGCATCATGCATAAAAAGAAATCGAACGACCATGTGGATGCACATAGAAAATGGAAATCAAATGCATGATCCCAAAACATTCAACGATATACAATAAAATCACAAAGAAATTCCTCAAACCAAAGATTAAAATTAACTTGATTAACAAAAAATAGATATCTTATCTGAAAAATTGAAACCTTCTTATCAGTTTCCAATTAGAAGAAATCAAGCAGCAAGTATCCAGTTATTAGTGATCAACCATATCCTTAATGCTACCTCTGCAAAAGTTGAAGAAAAGAAAATAATGATTAGAAAGTGGGATTTGGTATGTGTATTAGTGATTATGATGGTGGTGGATTCTGCGATGGGAGACGATCAGTGGCGAGAAGTGAGACTGAGACGACGGTGTGATGTTGTCGGCGAACGAAAAGGATTACGCAAGGTACTTGATTAAATAGAAAAGGAATTAGGTCATCTTGTTCCTTCCCAGCCGCAAAAAAAAACATGCACAAAAATACATACACACATAGGGAAACACATAAAACTTGATAATATTGGATAGGGGTGATGAAATTCCAACAACAAATCCGATTCGAATCCCGATTGATGGTGACACCTCCTTGAAAGACCGATTGTTAGAAAGAACAAAGCAGGAAGGTTGTGTGTATTTGCAGACCCAGAGCGGGATAGAAAAGCCACTAAAATATGATTGTGGAGTGACAAAGAGCAAAAGAGATGAAGAAAATGTGTTCTTCTGGAAATCGATGTAAGAAGCGGTGCTGGCAAAATGGTGGATAGAAAACACGTGGATCGGTGATAGCTATTGCATGGACAGCAGAGATGAGGGGAAAACCCAAAACATAAATGTGAGATCTGGACTTCATACCACGTGTAAAGCACTATCTCAAAGAAGGGTAAAATAAATAAATAAATAAAAACCCGAAAAAAAATCAATGGCAGTGAAAAACTGTTCACAAAACTATTCTTTTTTAATATATTATATAATTACCATAAAATGTTTAAGAATATAACAAATAGCAAAAAATGGTTTCTTTTTATATATATATATATATATATATATATATATATATATATATATATATAGGGTTAGGTTATTTTGTTTTTATTAACTATTTTGTACCAGAATTCAAAGATCTGGACCACAGGATGTAATAGAATCAATGATCATGATCTGAGAGTCTATGATATTACAATAAGGTAGCATGTACCATATAATCACATAAATTTTAACATAAGGGTATTTTGGACAATAAACCATATTTAAAAAAAGGAAAATTTTAGATTTTAAGGGATCATTAATTATCTTAATTTTAAAAATCTGAATTTTTTATATTAATTTTAATTTTAATTTCAACTTAATTTTGAATAATATCCGAATTTCTTCTGTCAGAATAGCTAAAT